CCCCCCCCCCCCTACTACGTAAGATTTTAAGAGTATTTTCGTAACGGAACCTACCTAAAAGGACGCAAGTCCGCGACTGCCTGTTCTCAAGGCCCGTGGTTCTGCTGTACGCTGTACATACTTTGCTGGTGCCGCCGAACACTTGGCTAACTGCTCAATATGTATGAGGAAATCCGCGATCAGAAAAGCCATTAGGAGCCAGCGCGCCCAGCGGCAGCAGCGACTGCCAAAGCGAAGGCGCAGGGTGGGGTGGGGGAAAGGGCGGGGGGCGACTTCTTGTTTGAAAACAAATAATACACCGACAAAAAGCAGAATCAAAAATAACCGAGCATAGTATGTGTGATTGTGTATGTGTGTGTTTGTGTGTGGAAAAGGGTGGGCGGGGGTAGTTCCCTCGCGTGCGAACAAACTGCCACTATTCATTTATTTTGAAGCACAACTTTACAAACGACGTGCCGTAAGACTAATTGGATTTTGCGCGGGGGGAGGGGGTGGTGGGGCACAGACCTGGACAGTGACAATGTCAGCGAGGACAAGGACCGGACGCGTTGCTCTTACACAGAGCAGGGCGCGGCGCTCTGTCCCGCCGCGCCGCGCTTGGAATCGCAAACCGTAATGAGCAAGTACATGGGAAATTGTGTCAACATTTCAAAATTACGAACGCTTGCCGGAAAATTTTCTAAGCGTGTGGGAACGGGGGTCTCAGCTGGGTGGTCGCGAGCAGCAACAACACGCCTACTACGCCTCGCAACGCAACGCCAACCCGACCGTTTACGCAGCATGTTTGCGGAAGCGAATTAAGTAGTTCACATGCATTATGTGCAAAATCCAGCAAAAGGGGCATTCAGGCCGGAGTTGAGGCCGCCTCGCGATCGGAGTGAAATTTGTGCGTTTTGCCTAGTACAGAGGCGTTTTATGTCTAAAAAGACAAGCAGTCGTCTGCGAGGGGCCCACGACTTTCGAAATCCTGTGTACCGGGTGTTGCAGAAAAGACACAGGTGCGGGCGGGTTTGCCTATCCTCGACTCGGTGGGCGCACGGGTCCAGGTCTGGGGAGAGGTGAGGAGGGGACCCGTGCGCCCGCCGAGTCGAGGGTAGGCAAACCCGCCCGCACCTGTGTCTTTTCTGCAACACCCGGTACAGATGGAAGTGTAAGCTTTGTGTTAATAAATTTCACCGTATTATCCAAATAGAGTGGTTTTAGCCCCACAAATTACAACAAAATTAAAAACGTGTAATCCCTCAAAATTTATGGGTAATCCCTGTAATCACGTAATCCTGTGTAAATGTACCTAAATCGAAGTGGTGGCCCCTCGTTCGTCTGGCAATCCATAAATCTTGGGCCTTGGCAATCTGGTGGTGTAGGCCTACATTCTACCCTACAAGAGAGTTGAGGCCCCCTCGGTCGGACTATATCTCAGGCGCGGATTAAGGGGGGGGGGGTATCGCCCCCCCCCCCTGTCGTCTCTAGAGAGCCGCCTAAAAGGTAGGCAATTTGCTCCACAAAACCCCTGTATGTAGGCAACCGACAGTGCACCCCCCCCCCCCCCCCCCCCCCCCCCCCCCCCCCCCCCCCCCCCCCCCCCGGCCGGACCTCAATCCGCGCCTGCGCTATCTGTGCCACGACACTAATCAACTTAGTGTGCCACTGCTTAACACCTCATGTGTATGATCATGTGAGGGGTAACCCGTCATTGTGTGGAGTGAACTAGCAAAGCAGAAGGTTGGAGTGTACTTACGGTGCCGCACCGTTGCATTATTTTCGTGTCTACTGGGCAAAACTTAACGGGCCGTTTGCTTTCAAATCAGGAGGACGCGCGCGTGAAAGAGTGGGCAGCACAGGGGGAGAAGTGCTCGTCGCTAAGCCCCGCCGAAGGGGCATGTGTGGCGGTACCCCTCGCTGCACGCGGGGTAGCGCCGGAGACCACCGCAGCAGGATAACACCACAGGTCTCTGGAGACCTCAGGTGGGGGGTACACTGTACCCGGTACAGTCGGCAGAGAGTTACTGTTGGTCCCAGCTTTTAGTCAAACCACAAGGAAAGGGACAACACCCATTGGTAACTAAATTCTCAGCTACGTGAGAAGGAAACCAAAACATTGCATATACAATAAGATTCGATCTAAATATTTTTTTCACTTAAGTTTTATGAACACTCTTTAAGACATCCATTACCCATATTTAAAAACCGTTTTCCCATTCTTTGGGTGTCAAAAATTGAATATTGAAGAGAAAGCTGTCAATAATTTCAAAGGGGGCTGCTCAACTCGGGCACTCTGATGTTAGTCGGTGTAAGTAGCCTTACACCATCAAAATTATCTTTTAATTCGTAATATGAAGAATTGCTGTTCAGTCAGAATACGATAAAAATTCGTTTGTCTTTTTAAGGATGGAGTGTGCTCGCTATGCTTACTAGCAGCTTCAAACAACAGCAGCAGTGACGCCTTACTTCCCACTCACAGGCACTCCGTCAATTCAAATACGTACATTGTATACTTTAAATAAAGCGTACATGGCCATTGTACGCATTCATAAATGTAAACATACATGTATACAATGTACGCATTTGAATTGATGGAGCGCACGGTCGCATCACGGCTAGCTGCGCGGTGGAGTCCTTCGCGTGACGTGGCAACAGGTCTTCAGAGACTGAGGGTGGAAATAAGGGATGGGGGGGGGGGCTGGCGGGCGCCCCAAACAACACGCCGCCGCTAATCACCCCGCCGGGGCCCCGGCCCTGCACGTGGGGCCCAGGGGCGGCCCCCTCACCTCGCCAGCGAGGCACCTGTCCAGCCCGGCGGCATGGCATGGGCGGGCATGGCGGGACAATGTTGTGATGGTGGCGCCGCGACTCCACCACTTCTCTTGCCCCACTTGGGAGCCCTATTATTTTTAAATGCCATATGCAGGGTTGCCCGAAATGATTGTCGGCACGCATTTCTTTGTAGCTGTGTCTCGGAAAAATTGGGGCAATTGGGGCAATTGTGTGTACGCATGTGTAGGTACACATTTCTTAAAGTACCTTGCGCGACCCCTAATCGTCGTCGCAGAGCGCCTGAACTTTGCACATAGTCAGTATTACACAAATGAATCAATTTAAAACTGTTACGAGGAGCACTTTTTTTATTTGGAATGGCCTCGCTTTCGTTGGCCTAGTAAATGTACTTGGCTGTGTTGGAAAGGCCTAATCTTTTCATGAAATTTTACGGTTTTTACAGGTTTTTGAGGATGTCGCATGGTATTTTTTTAAACATAACGACGTTTAAACCTGCCGACAGACTGTCTGATTTAAAAGATTACCCATAATTCCAGCGGATGTCACATGCTGGTCTCGTTTCTGCGCAATTGGTTGCACTCGCAGTCGCACTGCAGGTAGTTCATTTCGCACGAATCCTCGCAGTCGCTGTTGCTACAGCTGTCTCTACAAGCCTGTCGTTTCCGTGTGCATTCTCTGTCTTTGAAGCACTCCCACCACAGGTCTCGCGAGTGTAGGCTGGTCCCGGGGATGCCGTAGCAGCCACACTTACAGTTGGCTTTGCACTTTTCTTTGCACTGCCAATCGCCGCATTCGGCGCAGGATAATTCATTGCACTGGAACATGTGGGAGGAAAGCACTGTAAACACAACAATCAGCCAAGCCATGTACGCGAAATGAAGAGCGTGCTTCTAGGAACACACAAGCTACGCAAGTGGCAGTAAAGAGGTCGGGGGGACTGCACTACACCCAAGATCCCGCATGCGGATGCGGACCACGGGAAAGAATAAAAAAAAGAAGACACGTGTTTTTCTTATGGTAGAGTCAGTCTTCGGGACTGCGCACTCTTGGATTCCTTCCCGAAGTTTTCGTTTCTTGCTACAAACAATTCTGTGCAACGGTACGTGCCGGGAAATGATCGCAGTAAAAACAATGTCTCGTTTTTTGAGGGAAAAGGGAAAACTTAGAGGAATTCCCCTGGTTTGACAAAAGCACCTCAGATTTCGAGGAAGTCTCCTCAAAAAATGTGGGATTTTTCTTAATTCTTGGGGAAAATTCCTCAAAATCTGAGGCGAGATTGGGGGATTTGCGCAGAATTGTTTATAGTAAAACTTTGGTAAGGAATCTGAGAGTGCGCAGTTCCGAAAACTGACTCTACCAGAAGGAAAACAACGTGTCTCCTTTTTTATTCTTTCCCGTGGTCCGCAGGCGGGAACCTGGGTGTAGTAGCGACAGTGCTTTTTGGACAGCAGTCCGCCTGACCTCTCTACTGCCACTGAAATCGGAGGACTCTTCCTCAAACGGGAGTTCCTCAAAGTTTTCTCTTTTCCCTCAAAAAATTAGACTTTGTTTTTACCGTGGAAGGCAAGCGCCCGGCGAGAAATGTTACCGACAACATCGTGTCGACATTAATTTTCACGTCGTTACGATATGAACGTGGGCCTGAAACCGGCGGCTTTTCGCAGGGCTTGAAAATAGAATTAAATCTTATTTTAAAATTAGCGCTTGTGAGAGCAAAATATTTCGCCCGGACAAAAGATTTTGCCCTAGGGCAAAATCATGAACCCCTTTCGAAGTTGGTCCTGAAAGGGCAAAACCTTATAATAATACTTTTACCCAGGGCAAATTTCTGGGGCAAAAATCCTTTTGATCTCCGAGGGCATACCTGGAATTTGATGATTGGTCTAAATTAAACCCCAAAATAAATCAGGCCCCACGTGCCCGAGATTAGAGAGACTACCCGAGATGCGTCCGGGGATGCTCGCTCGAATTCCAGATCTCGGACTTTGGGCAGGAGACAAGGCCCAGTATGAGTTGCGAGGATTTTCGTGGTCCAGGAGTGAAATGTCTGAAAACTTCAAACCCACCTCTTTCGGGACGTTAAAGCCTCAAAATTTAATTTAATTTAGTATTTTTCCCCCGAATTAACATTTTTTTGACAGCATGGATTTACTTTTGCCCGGGAATAAAGTCATCATTTTAATTCTGGCAAAATTAAATCCACACAAGGGCAAAAAATTTTGATTTAGTCCTGGCTTTTCGACAGTGCCCAGGAATAAAGTCATTATTTTAATTCTGCCCAAAATTATCGAGGGAATATAATTCAATTTAATTTATTTTGACAGCCCTGGCTTTTCGACACTGAAAATCGAAATAACGACATCGAAACGACATCGACTGTCGAAAATCCGTCGATTTCAGTCTCACTTTCACATCGTAACGACGTGAAAACCGATGTCGAAACGATGAAACGATGTCGACGGTCAAATTTCTCACTAAAGCTGTTTGTACTCCCGTTACTTCTTCATTACGACAAGCTCTGAAATATCCTATATAAATATCCTAATAGCGCAAATGACTACTTATACTCACCTTTTGTTCGTCATAGTAACAAGAACGGTACTTTTTATACTGGTTGTGCTTCGCAGCGCTGGTCTCGTTTCTGCGCAATTGGTTGCACTCGCAGTCACACTGCTGGTAGTTCAGTTCGCACGAATCCACACACTCCTCGGTTCTACAGCTGCCTTCACAAGCCTGTCGTTTCCGTGTGCATTCTCTGTCTTCGGAGCATTGCGACCACAGGTCTCGCGAGTGTAGGCTGGTCCCGGGGATGCCGTAGCAACCGCACACACAGTTGGTCCTGCACTTCTCTTCACACTCCCAATCGCCTTTGCATTCACTGCATGTCTCTGCATCATAGCACTGAAACATACGGAAAGTATAGATATAATGGCTGACTGGAAGAAAGGTGGAGACTCTTCCGCACGAAGAGATTCGAAGAACACTCACCCGTCGTTCTTCGGAGTAACATAAAACAAATTCTCTAATTTTCTCGGTTGCAGATTTGGTAGTACTGCTTGGCTCACCCACAGTTGTGATGCCAGACCCCGGCACGACGTTTGTGCTGCTGGGAGTGCTTGAAAAGGTCTGAGCTGCGTTACTGTCTCCGGTTCCGGTTGTTGTGCCACTTGTCGAAAACGCGGCTGTCCTGCTGTGCCCAGGCGTGCTTGTGCTACTGGCCACGACCCTAGGTGTGCTTTTAAGTGCAATCCCAGGTGTGCTATTGAGTATAGTCTCGGTTGTGCTACTGATTGGGAGTGTAAGCCCGGCTGCAAGCCTAGTTGTAATGAGAGGAACCCCCTTCGTGCTTCTGAGTGCAATCCCGATGCCGTTACTGTCTTCAAGTCCAACTGAGCTGCCGGTCTCTGCGCTGGTTTCACCGAGAAGCTGTTGACTGCACTCGCAGTAGCACTTCAGGTAGTCCATTTCGCAAGAGTTCTCGCAGTCGTGAGATTCGCAGTTGTGCCTGCACGTCTCCCGCTGGGGGCTGCATCCCCTCTCCCAGTAGCACTTGCCGAACAGGCCGTACGTGGCGAGGCTGCTGCCCGGGAGGCCGTAGCAGTCGCATTTGCAGCTGTGCCTGCACTTGGCCTTGCACCTCCAATCATCCCGGCATTCACTGCAGATGGTCGTGCTGCACTGGAACACGTGTGGGGGTGGAGGGAATATCAGACACAACCATCGGACAACCCAGTCAGAAATGCAATACGGATAAATGGTCGATAGTCATCGATCGAGGCAAATTCGACTCGACATCGACTCGATTTTGTCAACCTAATCGACGAAATTTCGATATCGACGTCGAATCGACTTCGATTTGAAACTCCATCTCTCACTGGTTTTCGCACACCAACACAACATGGACTCGCGCGAGGACTCACCTGCTGTTCCAAACAATTGTTATACTCCTGCCAGTCCACGCTAGCTGAGCTGGCATAGCGGTGCGACGCGCTGGTTGGCTCACTGTTGTTCACAGCGTTCACAGCGGACATGCTGAACAGACGGCTCATGATGGCGCTCTCTGCAGGCACGGACAACCCGTCTGGGACCGCAGACAGGCCTGGGGCACAAACGGAGAAAAGGCTGAGCGTATACAGTCTACCGCAGTCTACTCGCTCGAACATTGCGTTGACTGTCGACTCAATGTATCTGGAGTTCCGCTTAATTTGCCAACCCTTCAATCCGCCCCCTTCCAGCACTGGCGCCATGCAGTATGCACTGGCACTGCACCCGTTTCCCCACCCCAACAAAGTCAATTAATTCTCAGTTTAAGGTTGGTTGCGCCTGATACGTACTGGATAGGTCACTCGCTAAGCAGCTGTGTAGAGTCTGTTGCCTCCTACACTGAAAAAACTAATGTTACCGAGGGAACGTTTCATCACGTGATCAAGCCAGGTTACGTTTACTGATGCAACCTACCCCATGCAAAAGGCTAGGGCCATCACCAAACGTTTTCTGGTTTGATCGTTTGGTTGCGTCAAGAAACGTTCCCTCGGTAACATTAGTTTTCCCAGTGTATCCTGAGAGCCTGTGGAGCAGTCACCCAACTGCAGTATGTGCAGCAAACTGTGATAGCTTTGCATCGTAAAAATACAAATCCAGTTTGTGTGTCAGCACACGCAGCTGGTTCACTAACATTTGAACTCTGTAGTAAGAGTGTTAACGTTGCACTGAAAAGTTGATTGCTTCAAAGAGTTGTGGTGTTGTCGGTGTGAGTAACGCTAAATGTATTTGTATGTTTATTGTGCAACGTTCGTGCTTGGTTAAACCTACGTTTCGTTTCGGACAAATTTGTTCGCGAAAGTGTATGATTTCGTACACAAACTATTGCACAAAAGTGTTTTAAACCAACGCAGAAATATGTGCAACACATTTGACTGCTTAGATTCGTACAAATAAAATACAAATCCAGTTTGTGTGTATTTGTGTTACTGACCAGAGGAGGAAGCGGGCGAGGCAGGGCAGGGGCGGGTTATTATAGCGAGTGGCAGTAGAGAGAGCGACAGCAGAAACAGCACCACTGGGCAGGCCAGAGTAGCGCAGCGAGCGCACCGCATAATCTGCATTACAATAAAAGAAATGTTAAATGTATGACGTAGAGTAAAATAGGCCATCATTCGACGTTAGTCTGAAAATAAACGGAACTTTTAAATTTAAAACCCTTTTGGCGTTAAAAAAAGTCATTACAAGTTTTCAGCGGTGAGGTAATAAAGACCTCGTCGTGAGGTTGAGCGGTATCTCGCAATCGATACATCATATCGATATCGGGCTCGACATTCTTTCAATATTGGACAAACGCTATGTGCACAGTGTTTTTTTTTAGCTATGTCACGTTATAATGAATGTGGCACAGTATTCCAACCAATGTAACAAATATCACTGTGTTTGAGTAACAGCAATATTTTTCGATATTTCCCGGTTTTATCGAGACTTAATACTCAATAAATCAAGTCTACGTTCGATAACGCGATATCGAAAACTGGATATTTGCACAGCCCTCCTGGGCCTGGGCGAGTCTTGACCTCCCAAACCTACTGACTGAAGTTTTCTTCGCTGGGGTCAGACGTCGTTCGCTTCCGCCTGCCTGAGAGTGACTACTCGCTGTTCTCCAGCGCTTGGCGGAGCTCTGATAAGGACCTAGGGCGTTGCATGTCGAGGCGGCTCGTGCACTTGTGATAGCAACATGTTGCACCGTAATCCCACACGCAGCAATAACCTTGACCGTGGTCTGATTATATTATTTTTTCATTTAATTCCACCAATGTCGGGTTAGTGACGGGCTGGAATGCGCGATGCCGCGGCAGCGGGGCATCCCTCAGCCCCTGACGAACGGAGGATAGGCCACCATCCCAACCCGCGTGTGCTGCATGGCCTGCTCTTGCCTACCTGCCAGGCGCTCAGGCGCTCCCACCTCAACTACCCTAGAAACGTGACTTGAGAGCATCAGACCGCACATACGTCCCAAAGTGTTTCGGTACGGCCAGTAGCCGTCGTAAATGTTGACACAGCTCTAGTTTAGAAAATTGAAAACAACCAGCCGCAACCAGCGACGCCCAACAAAGCGCTACTGCTACTGCGCTACTACTGTGCTTATCACCCCAAAAGGCCTAATGATCGCCAGGGAGAAGGTCGGGAGGTTCCGGTAA